TGGGTAGAGTACTATTGAACGTTAATAATCTGAAAAAGTAAAATCAATGAATATTTACTAACTTAGGTACAGTATGTCATTTATTTTTAGGCCCTAGCCTAGCCTTAGGCCATGCCTAATTATAGGAATAATAATAAATAGCCTGATGCATCTGATTTTTCGTATCTAATTTATTATATTTTTTCTTCAATCCATATATTCTTGTAGGGTTTTATGTCTTTATGGTAGTAGTAGTAGTACAGTAGTAGTAGTAGTATGTAGGATACTAGGCCTAGACCTACATAGGCCTAATATAGACCAGGCCTAGCTTAGGCCTATACTACTAGGCCTAGGCTAGGCCTTTATATAGGCCTACACTATATTAATTAGGCCTAGGCTAGGCGTTCGCGAAGTTTAGATATGGATGACCGAAGCCTTACGTTATTTTTACTCTATGAAAGCAAACAAAAATAAAAGTGATAGGCCTACCTATACCATTACTATTATCAATCATTGAAACAAAAGTAATCATATTCATATATAACGTTTAAACTTACAATTTTCTAGCAATATTTTCTTGGTGAACAACAGAGGCCAGCAAGATAACTCGCGAGCTTGAAAACGAATCTATCTAGTGTTGACCAGGTGTTGACATGATCGACTCCCAATTGACGTACTGTGATTGGTCAGAAGTGTAAGTCTGTGACGACGGATTCCCGGCTGATTTCACGTCCTCTACGAATGAACTCGACGAAACCCAAGCATTATAAATATAATTACGCATGCGCATATGCTTTACAATAACGTCATACCGTTCCAAGTAACTCGTCGTCGCAGATCTAAAACTCGCTATTCACTGTGTGTGCGCCGAACCGTGGGGATAAATCTGTACATAGGTCACCTGGTTCTTGTGTTTCAGCTGAAGGGATGAAATGCAAGTTCACCTCCAGCGTAGGCCGTTCGTCCCGTGTGCAAAGGGCCCATATGCATGTTAAAGAACGGAAAAGATTGGGGATTGTTACTCGATGTGCTGCTAAAAAGTAAGTCTCATGATTTTCGTCGTTATCCTTGTTGTGCATCACATCGGAATAATCCAATGAAATCCAATATCAGTTGTTAATAAATGTAAAAGTAGGGTTTAATGCAAAACGTAATCGGAAATAATATAATTCATTGTAGTTGCCAAATTGCATACGAGGCCTACCTTATCTAAAGACATGCGCAGAGTTGTTTTTCCGGCTTCTTGTACCTCAATGTGGAAATCCATCCAATTTATTGGAACAGTTCTTGCCATTCCCTTCATGAAACCGCCTACGTTTCTTTTCAGTTTTTGAATCCCTTCATCCAGTGCTGTGGTGTTGTCTACAGCATACATCTCGCGATCTACGTGACGCTCGTATGGCGTCCCTTTGATTTCCTCTAAAATTCTGCCTAATACGACATCAATCTTTGAATAGAATTGAATAGTATATATGTAATGAAAATATTTATAGATTTTAAAACAAATAATATCATCCCATTAAACACTCACGGACTAACAATATCTCACCTTTGCCTGCTTCTCAGCATCACTCCCCGTGAGTAGGTCCTTGTGCGTCCCAATCAGACTAATCGTCGGTGATGCTATAATTCCATTGATCAAAGGTTTCTCCTCTGAGCCATGTAGCAGTACAGCATACTCATATATCAGCCTTATCCAAAATATGATCATTTGCAGATTTGTCATCTCAAAATGTCTCTGCATATAAACAATATCGTCAGCATAATTTTTAAAATAAAGTTATGGATAAATTGATATACAATTAATTACAGGCTGAAATTAATTATTTCAGGAATGGGTTTATTCCACTCAATGCATA